GGGAGGAAAACCTTTAGTGCTGAAAGACAGACATGCCCCAGCTACTATCTGCTTGGAGACACAGGAGTGGTTTAGGTACCACTGAAGCTTGGAGCTGCATGAGATGACCTTTTCAAGATGTCTCTTCCAGCCTTTGTTGCTGTGCCTCTGCAGTGTAACTCGTTCTAGATGAATGGGTAGTGTCTCAGTGAGCACAAAATGCCTGCTACAGAGAAGAGAGCTCTGAGGGCAGGCTAGTGGAGATTAGCACAAGGGCTGCCCACCACCTGAATTTTATATCATCCAGTTAACAGCACAGCTTAGACTGTTCCTGTTGGAGGCCTGATCATTCTCATTTGGTAACTAAAAATGGGGACATAAGGCTGGAGATGCAAGCTGCAGAGCTAGAAACAAACACACTCAGTGTATCTCCTGCCTGACTTCTCCATGCCATGCTTTTCACTACAGTGACACCCAACTTTAGGAAGTGAAGCTCATGGGAGGAGATGAATAATGTCCTTCCCGCAGCATTATTAGAAACAGACTGGCTGATCCTCTTGGCTCTCGCAGAGACTGTGCAACAGGAGTGTCCTTCTTGGAGATCTAAGGCTTGTGAAACAAACCCCAATTGAACAGATTCTAAGCAACTCCCAAGGAACCAGAAGAGAAAGGCATGACCTTCCTGAGCACAAGGATCTCTCACATTTCCACTACAGTAGCACAGTGTGCTACTCTCCTGCCCGGCAATTACTGTCCCTGGGGTTTTCCCAGTATGAAGTTGATAGGTGTTGCACAACTGCGGTGGCAATGAATTACCTTCTCCTCATGGCTGGCAAGGCTCTGTCAAGGCTCTGTCAAGATAAGTAGCATAGGACCCTCTAGGTATCTAAATAAAGCAGAACAACTGTTAAATAGATGACAATAGACAAAAGAGAGAGAAGGGAAGAGAAATGTGATTTCCAGCAGTAAAACCATCTTGCTTCACGCAAGGACCCTGTGGCTGTGGTACTCTTGCAACTAAAAATGTGACTGCACTTTTCTGATGCATCTGTCAGTGAGGAACAGAGAGGGGGGCACTTTCTTCCAGAGAGGAGGCCATGTTTTTCCAAGTGTAAGTCAGGGACACAATGATTTTCACCACTCAAGAAGCAGGCTTACTTCTTGCATTCCTGTAACACTTTTCACCCCAAAGGATGCCAAATGGCACATTTGTCCTGCCAGATGTCAAGATGGATGGGTTTGGATGTTAAGTTAGTGGGAAGAGTATGTGAAGGACCTTTAGCAAGAAACGTTTCACTTCTGGCTCTAAAATTAGTAGACCCCCCCCAGATATGTTTCTGTAATACATATCTGTGCAGGAACTGATTTGTGCAGCCAGATGTAAAGTGTGGAGATAATATACCTGCTTTTTTTGCTAGGAGTACGGAGAAGGATTTGGGCTTTGTGATTCTTGTGTTTCTCTCTCTGGAGCAGTGGAAAGTCCTGGAACATGGCTATTCCTGGCAGCTGTCAGGGTCAGGAGCTGGAGAGGCTTCTTTTCTGATGGGAGGCCAGCTAGCCATGAGTTTAATAAATTACCTCCTCACCTGTCTGCAGTACTGCCTTGTTCCTTGGGGGAACAGCTCTCTGAGAGATTCCTAGTCCAGCAGCAAAATATTTTCTTCCTTTCCATCAATAGATTTTAAAGGGGGAAAAAAACCCCACACCCCCTACCAGCCTTGACGTGATGTCAGTTTTGTCTCTCTGTCAGCTCTCAGGTGAAGTGCTGAGCTTCCTGCTGGGATGGCACAGACAAAAGGCTGTTGAGGCAGGCATTTGGATAAAGGATCCCTGGTTCTTTCCAGCCTGTGTAACTCCAGCTGACGTTTCCAGCCATTGTTGCTTGGAGTGTATTTTTCTGTTGTTTTGAGTTTTTTTTTAAATTCTCTCAGATGAAGTGGCTCATTAGTCTTCTCAGCTTTGTGTATATGAGAAAAGAATGCTGGGACCAGAGCCATTTCAGTGTTGCAGCTTAAGCGGGCTGGGGTGAATAGTGAAGAGCTCAAGAAGCAGAAAAGCTGTGTGATGGAAGACTTGGTCTGCTTCAGTCGGTACGGAGAGGTTAACACCCACAGCTGTGGCCGCAGGGAACGTGCTCAATAGCTGAGTAGTCATTGTGCTTGCAGAAAGAACTAAAGTTCCAGTGACCAGAGGCTGTAATATGGCCAAATTCAGAGCACTTACACCCCATCTCCCAGTGATTGCTCCAGGCAAGGACTTTCCCTGGTGCATGGGAGCTGGCTGGAGGAGCCTGCCTGTGGTCCCATTACTGCATGGGAGAGGGAGAAATATTCCAGCCTGGACCCATATCATCTGCTGTCATAGATTCAGGGCAGTTTCTTTACTGGGGCATTAGCTGGGTGGGGCTGGATACCAAGCAGACAAAACAGCTCTAATAAAAAAATGATAACTTTTGCCTCCTCTGCTATGTGGCCACTGAGGAGGCGCTTGTTAGTGTTCCACCATGAAAGCCACTGTCTCTCCTGGGGCATTTCAGCCCTTGAAGAGCACAGACCAGTTGGCTCACCAAGCGGTTACCCACCTCCTGGTGCAGTTCTCTGAAGCTTTGCTCTGTGACAAAACTGTAGGTATTCTTGCAAGTGCAGCAGTAGAAGAGGTGAGGGCTTTGCCTTGGTAAATGCTGGTGTCTCTGGTTGGTTGTTCAGTGGTTTTGAGAGGTTTGGTGCAGAAGGGAAAGGACTTGCTGGAAAATGTCCAGTGAGTGTGCTATTGAGGCAAGCTTGGGACTTTTGGGGCCATCAGTTTTGTTGGGTGAAAGCAAGACAAATAGCTCTGCAGAGTTTGCTCTTGTAATTTCTTCCCTCCCCTGGATTCCCAGCCTGAAAGCATGTGCTTCTGAAGATGATGACTGAACTGGGAGGGGAAAATAAAAACCTAATACTTCCAAGCCAAGCCTTTGCTAGTTTAGGCTTTGCAACCCCCCCGGCATGACTACTGAGCAGTCACATGCTGCAGGCAATGTAATTATTTTTCTCTCCCAGTTATAACTCAGTTCTTGTATCATCAGGTAATATTATGAACAGGTCCAAACACCCCCAGCTTCTTTAGTAGCAAATTATTCCACAGGCTTCCGGTCAAGTACTGGGTTTGGTAAGATGTGGACATCACTGAAAGACAAGTTTGTCCTACAATGAAGCCTGATGAAGTTGTAGAACAGCTCTGTTCTTAAAGCACATCTTGTGATGCCCTGTTCCCTTGATCAGCGCCATGGGAATGTGGAAAGCACAAAGGGCACAGGCAAGTAAACATGATTTGATACACAGCCTTCTAGAGAACATGCACACAGATAAATTATTGGCATAGTTGGGACTCTAGGCGACACCCACAGCACACACAGTTCAAGATCTAATGGAGATAAAGTTTGCTTATGAAAAAAAAAAAAAAAACCCAACAGAATGGCAAATCTGCCTTTTATCTGTCCAGGATGTAACTAAGGATGTAGTTAAGTGGATGTAGAATTAATGGCCTGTTGGAGATGGAAAAGAGCTGAGAGATAACCGTTTGCTTGATGTCCCAGGTGCAGTTTGCTCAGTTTGCTTAAAAAAAAAAAGTGGTCTTGTTTTCACAGCACTAAAGAATAGAAGAAATACTGGTGTGGGCATTAATGTTGGTATCTGGACACACTGAACATGGAGCAGCCTTGCTGGGCTCGGAGTCTCTCCCTACAAGAGAAGCAGCATCTCCTGGGATTGCTGGTGGGACTGCCAGAGAAACATGCAAATCCTTTTGCTTGGAAAAGGAGCCTGGCATCTGGCCTGTGGCTCTTGAGAGGCTGCCAGCCCCTGTGTTAGGTGCAGTCTTTGCTTATTATCTTCCTTCCTGTGGGCTGGGAGCCCTGCGTATCCCAGCAGCTCTGGTCTTGACCTCAATTTTCACCAGGCCATCCCTGAGGAGTTACAATACATCCCCATTTCCCAATCTGACCTCACATTTGAGCTAACCAGCCTGGCTGCCTGTGCTCTGACAGACTGATTTCAGCAGTAGGGTGGAGGATGGTGAAATAATATGAAAGGCAGTACTCTGATACGTTTTTTTTAAATGTTTTATTTTCTTACACCAAGAAGGTGAAAAGCTATGTGTTTTGTGTAGTAAGCCTACTTTTGGCTAATGTTCTTGCCAGAGCTTTGGATAGTCCCCCAAGCAGAGTCCTTCCTGAACATAAAGTACTACAGACATGTTCTCCACAATTGTTAGTTCCTTAAAAGCAAAGCAAGCTGTCTTTTTCTGGATGTAGGAATCTTGCTATCCCTTGTGGCTCTTGGTTTCATAATCACGTTACATGGAAGAGCTTGAAGGAAAATGTTTGGGGCCTCCAAAATTTTTCCATTTGGGACCCTATTAACAAAAAAAAAAAAGCCTTGTAGACAAGCAGCTGCTTCCTGAAGGTGCATAGGGCTTGAAAGAGGAAGGCTAAGATGAAGCCGTTGCTATGTATGCTGCATATCAGTGCTTTGGGACTGATATTTGTTCCTGTAAGAATGTCCTGTTGGGGATCTTGTTGGTACAGAGTTGCCACTTTCCTGCTGCACACGCAGACCTGTAGCCCACCTCTCTAGAATTGCCTGGAGCTAACGAGGGCTGCCCAGGAGTATGGCAGTGCCTTGGCTGATCCCTTTCTCAGTGCCTGTAATTGTTCAGCAGATCTCCTTTGAGCAATAGTGACGTGTTTTGCTGTAAATGGAGGCAGGATTGTACCCTGGACTGACAACCTTCCTTGTGTTTCTTTCAAGGGCTTTTCAAACCTGTGTTATTGTTTCATTTTTCTTTGCTAGGTCCTCTGATAACCCACATCTTGCACTTAAATCCAGGGAGAGTAACTTGTCAGGGAGAATGGACAATAAAGAAGTGCAGCTACTGCTGAGTCTTGTACAGGGAATCCTTGCAGCTTTTTGCTGTGATGTGTGGAGGGGTACAAGGTAGGTGTGAAACCTGTTCACTGGCTTTCCTGTAACTTAAAGCAAACATCTTCAATTCTATGTGTATTCAGCAACAGTGCATGTGCTAGATTCTGAGATTTGTGATACTGTCAACAAAAGCTTTTTTTATATCTGAGCTTAATTTCTGATAAGAGCTATGCAAAAGCAGCCTATGTCGTAAGCAGCAGTATGGCCATCTCTCCTTGGAACTGTCAGGGTTAATATTTAACAACTCCCCATGAGTTAAGAGTCCTTTGCTGTAGCATGTAAAACTACATCTCTATAGAAGTAAGCATTTCTCTGGATGTGGTGTTCACCTCTGCTAATTTTTCCCCCAGCTGGCAGGTAGATGTGTTCTGGACTGCCAAAGATCCATCTCCAAGCAGATCACTGATATTCATGAAGAGGAGAGGATGAGATACATATTGTGGAACTTGGGATGGGGTGAGATTGTCAGGTGCTACTTATCAATCTGAATATGCTCATGGCTACAAATGAAGTGTAGTGCAAACCCCTAGGGTTGTGGCAGGGATTCATTACCCTTGGAGCATTTTCTGTGCATGTGGCATTAGTGAAGCTTTGTTTTAACTGACACTGTTGATGAACAAGCCTTGGTTGTACTGTACAAAACCTAAATGACCAGGGTCCCACTAAGGACAGTAGTGTAGAAGGTGGTTTGTCTGTTCACGTGAGTCACAGATAGAGAAACTTGAGATTTATTTTGGTGTTATGTGGAATAAAAATTCAGATGTATTAGATGATCCCTTGAAACCAACTGAATTTCAAGGGGCTGTACTGTGGGGGTCTCCAGGGTATTCTAGTTCTTTGAAATTCTTCAACTAGCCACAGACTCAAATCCATCCAGGCCCTATCTTAGGGGTGAACTGACATTGGTATCATTTCATGGTCACTCAGTGATTCCTGTGAAATGATGGGATGGTTCAAAAGCCAAAAGTAAAAGGCCAGTCCTAGCGTTGGTACTGGAAGCAGCTTGACTGATTGCCCAAAAAGAAGAGCAGCTGAGGAGCGCGTATCTATGCTGTCTGTACAAGCAGCTTGGAGCTGAAGTGGCAAACTCTTCATTCAGTTTGGGAACTTTAGCTGCAAGCAGGCCTGTGTAACAAGTTTGTCAGCAATAGCACAGTTAAATTGTGATGGAGTTGGCACCTTTCTGACAAGTGAAATGCTGGATTGAAGTTTTTCCTGTTGCCCTAAGGGCAGGTCAACTTTATTAGAGAGGGAGGGGACTGTAGCCCTGTCGTCCAGTGCTTTACTCAAGCACTAATCTGCCTTTAAACACAAACTCCTCTGTTCTGTAGTGGGTTTGCAAGGAGCCTGACTTACTTCAAAGCAGTCACAAAGTAAAATAGATGTGTATCTGGCCATCAGCTTTTGGGGACAGGTATTGCTTCTGGATTGGAGCTACAGGCAATGAGTTACTGCATGAAGAAGAAAATAAAGATCTATTTGTGGTTATGCCTAGAGCCCTTGGGCAGGTGGTGGTCTGAAAGCTAATTTCTTTGTAACTATGGCTACTCCTATAATTCACACAAATGTTCCCAGTGATACTTCCACCAGATTAGAGGTAAAGGGTTTCCTTCTTACACAGGACTGAACTCATTAAGGAAAATACAGGAAACTTCCATTGTTTACAGTAAAAGGTGTTTCTTTCCTTACTGTGTGTTGCAATAAGCTTAGGGTGCAAAGCTGCTGTCTTGCCTGAGAAATGTTGGGAGAGAGGGTGTGCATGTTCCTGTAGGGAAATGCGGAGAGAAGACCAGCCCACTCATTCAACACACCTTTAGAAAGCACTGCCTAGCAAGCACCTCTGGGCAGCAGCAGCAGAGCCTCTGTCGTTCTCGGGCATCTCACCATGTGGTTTTTCAGGAGAAGGCTTCCTAAAATTCCCAGAGCCTTCATTTGGCTCATTGTTTTAATACACTTTTGCATCTTCATTGCCAATTTCAGCTCCTTGTTTGACCTGTCGAAGACAAGGATTTTCAGGTAAGAGACCTGCTTCCTTGTGATATGTGCTGTCTGGGTAAAGTGCTTGTGCTCACTTTCTTTCTCTCTGTGTCTTTTTACCCTGAAACTTCCACTTCTGATCTGAGTTAGATGAACACTTCGCTTTAGCAGACCGCATTGTGTACAAGCAGAGCAGAGTGTTGGAAGATCCACAGTCAAAAGCTTCTGCTGGATCATTAGTTTCCAGTTTCCTTGTGTAGCTGTTTAAGAAATCAGATTTTGCTTTACTAATACTACCTGTTTTCATACTTGAGCACTACATAGTATTTGCTTTTCCTGGTGGCTCCCAGAAGGACCTCATTCAGCACTAGTACAGATTGCATTGCTGGGCACTGAATTTGGTGGGATACCTTCAAATTTATAGCAAGTCCACATCTGATTCCTAATACAAATACACCCCCTGGGAGACCAATGTCATGCAGACATGATTAATGTATGTATTACTTCTTATATAAATGGTCAAGTAAATCCTACAGGAAAGGGTGTGAAGGGAATTGCAGTGTAGACTGCAGTAAAATGTCTCCAGCATCGTTGTCAGGAAACACCATTCCTTGCACGAGCACAGCAGATACCTGAGCCCTTCCTACTACAAGCATGGCTTGCTTACGTGTGGTGTAGAGGAAGCACCACTCCCCAGCCTCCTCACCAGCCCTCATATGGTCCCAGCTCTCCCAGTGAGCTCCTCTGGATCTTCTTGGTGGGATTAGTTTCCAGCTGGACCTCTCAGGGCTGATGCCATGGGAGCAGGCAGGAGAGGTGAGGCTGGGAGTACCTACATCTCTTCTGGAGGTGGCATGAATTTAGCTCAGATTCGGTGACTTCAGACCACACCTTTACGACAGCTATCAATTTGGAGAGGTTGGAATCTGCACAAGGGAGGCAGGGGGAAGGACAGAAGGAGGTGTAGGAAAGTGAAATGAGTTGTCCTTGATCACAGAGTCCATCAGTGGCAGAGCTAGGATAACAACTGACTCTCCATGCCCAGTTGCTTGAAGCCATTTCATTCTGCTGTAGTTTCAGATAATGGAAATGTCCATATTTTTGCAACATAAGTAAAACACATGAGCTGTATGTTGTAACCTGTGTGTCAGTTCTATTTCTGTACCTTTATATGTAACGTAAAATACACAAAGCAGCGTTTTCATGGCTTTATCTTCTATTTGTCCTAGGGCTTTGTATATGGAGAGGAAAATGACAGTAAATGTCATTGAGCTTCTGCAGTCGTTTGCCAGCTGGACTCTAGAGCCTGAAATTTGATGAGCTGCTTTGACCATTTAAAAAGCTGGTCAGGAGAGCAGGGTCCTGTGTAGGCACGAGTGCCTGGCCATGTGGGTCTGACTGCAGGGAGCAAAGTTTTGAATGTGAAGTGCCCTTGGTTTTACATCTTGGTGTCTGTATGTTTGGCACAATATTTGAAATTAAAGTCAGTAGAGCTGGGATGGAATCTCTGTCCTGCGATATACCACATATGGAAGGGGGGGGGGGTGGGGGGTGTTGGTTTGTCATACTGTCCCGTTTCATTTGTTCTCAGCCCTTTAATTTCAAAACTTTAAATCTTAAAATCTTTAAAATCTTAAAAATACAACAGAGAATCATTCAGGGATTTAAGATCTTCCTGAGCTACCTTACAAAATTTCTCTTTACTTAGAGTGTATATATAAAATCTTTCCTCTTATTAGGCAGTAAATGGTAACAAGAGTTTGTACATGATGAACTATGATAGAAAGCAACTGCTGTGTACTTAGTTGAAACTGGCTAATGATTATGAAGGGAGGTAGAGGAAGAGTTGTTAGCCATTTACCACAACCTCTTTTGCTTAGAAATAGCCTTGGAAATGTTCAAGTATTTATCTGATACAAAATGATTTTTGAAAGCCTTCTTAGCTGATAATTTTGTAATCACTTTAATGAATGCCATACCACTCTGAAGCTTCAGCAGCAATTGAACTGTTATCTACAGCCTGCTATCTGCAGAGGTACTTTTTTTTCCCATTTATCACCTCGAAAGCAATCCACAGTGCTCTGAAAGAAATGTGTCATGCAAAGGGTGAACATGAGTGTGAAATCAGACTGCCACAACTATGATGGTTTATCCTGAAAAGCCTTGCTGTACATAAAAGCTCAGCTGCAGAAATTTTTCACCTTCCCTTTTCCTGTTCCACCCTCCAGCCATGTGCAGATAAGAATGAATGCTTGGGACAAAAAACCACCACTTCTGCCTTGCTTTTTTTGCTGGGTTTCAGCCCAGTCTTGTTGCAGGTGGCTCTTCTGCTGTTGGCAGCTGTATCCTCCTGTGATATCCTTGTACCTGCCTGTGCCTCTGAATCGGGCAACAGAGCAGCTACAAATATTAGAGGCGATTGCTGAAAATGCAGAGATTTTACATTTTTAGCACTCAAAGTATAATTTAATAGATTCAAAGTGCTTGTCTTGAGACATGAGTACCAGGTAAGTTCTGTGTGATAGCATTGTATTAGCTCTCTGAGGAGATGAAAAAGTGCCCTGTGGCCCCAAATGCTCAAACAGTGATGTATGGTAAAGAAGTGAGTTTTACTTCTTATTAGACTTCCCTTACTGAAGATCTTCATGCTCTGTTGCTGAAGCACTTGGCTCTGCTGGCAAAGAAGAGAGCCAGATGGCTGCCTTCACGGTGTGTGCTGTGTCCTGAACTCAGGGTCTCCAAAACAATCCTGCAGTGCTCTGGGGACATTGCCAGAGGTCCTGCCCACTGCAGGGCAAAGCTGTTGTTTGCTGGTTTGCATTTACTGCCAGTGTGGATGTTTCATGAGCCAAGTGCTGAAGAGGAGTGTGTAGCCTCTGGGATTTGCGTAGTGGGGAGATAAGTGGTATTCAGGCCAGAATGGTGTGGGAAGTTGAATAACACTTTGGTGGCAAAGTGGAAAATGAAATTGAATTCATACAGCATCCTGCAGAAATTCAGTGGCAGTTGCCAAGGCAAGTCCTCTGAGGATGGTGGCCATATGCAGTGGCTGCTCTGAAGCACAGAGAGGGGCTCAAAGTCAAGAGCACTAGAAATGGGTTGGAAAGTGTTCAATGTTAAGTGGAAAGTGTGTGATGTGTCTGTTTTTCCTTTGATTGCATTCAGGCATTTGAGCATTTTCCAGCGTGCCCCAGATGTGCCTCAAGCGGACACCCAAGAGCAACAGGGTTTAAACTATTCTGATAACAGGAACTCAAGGAGCTTTTTAAAGGTGACTTTGGGGAGAGACATCACAAGGCTCGAACAAGATATGTTTGAGAAGACACCAAGATGGGAAGGAAAGGAGGAGCAGAAGAAAATGACAAAACCAGTTGCCAGGGTGGAGGAAGCCAAGGAGAACATGACTGTGAAACCACCCCCTGGGTTGGCAGGAATCAAGAAGACAACAATGAAAACAGGCCCTAAGGTGCAGGGAAACAAGGAGAAAACAACAGCGAGACCAGCCTCAGAGGTAGAGGGAGTCAAGAAGACAACAATGAAAACAGACCCTAAGGTGCAGAGAACTAAGGAGAAAACAACAGCGAGACTAGCCCCAGGGGTAGAGGGAGTCAAGAAGACAACAATGAAAACAGGCCCTAAGGTGCAGGGAAACAAGGAGAAAACAACAGTGAGACCAGCCTCAGGGGTGGAAGAAGCCAAGGAAAAGTCAATAGTGAAACCACTTCCCAGGGTAGAGGGAGCCAAGGAGGAGGCAACAGTGAAACCATCCTCTGGGGTGCAGGGAGCTCATGAAAACAACACATCCAAAGACCAAACAAAGCCAAAAGAGCCTCCTGCACCAGTGAAAACTGTAAGACCCGTTCCTCAGGCAGCTGCAGTGACAGAAAAGAAGAAACTGAGAGCTGCTGACTTCAAGTCTGAACCACAGTGGGATTTTGAGGACAAGTACCTGCTGGACAACTCATCTCCACCATCGGTAGGTGTGATGGCCACATGTGTTTTCCAAGAATGATGCTTTCCTGTTGACCTCCTTGTCTGCTGTCCCCTGGGCCTGTGTGCCCTTTGCAGTCAAGGATGATCTCCAAGCTGGTGGGGTCAACTCGTATATGCAGGTGTTGCTGGGACCCAGAGAGGGAGACCTGTATGTGCGACTCAATTAGCCTGACCAGTCCCTCCACTATGCTCCAGTGGGGGAACTTCCCGCAATTGCACACATTTTCATGGGTTCCTTTGAAAGTCAGCCCGAGCTGCCCTTTCTGGCGCTCAGGGGCATCAGAAGCTGGGGAAAATCTCTCTCCTCCTGGATGTGCTAAAAGTTGGTCCCACTCTTAGGCACCTTGATACATTGCATAGGGGACTTAAGTGTGTACGTTCTGTGTGGAATGGCACCCTACGGTAAATTGGGTCACACCTAGTCTTGTGACTGGCACTAAATGGCAGTCTTCATACCAGCATCGCATTTCTCACCCAATCTCTTGAGAAACTGAATATCTGCATTCCTATGAAGACTCAGGATCACAGTCCTCAGATTTGCCTTAATCTTTATTTTATGGAGAAAGAAAAGAGGGTCATGGTGAGGGAAGAGGAGTAGGAATGCTTCCGTGTGCCTGTTCACCCAAGCACATATGTACCAAAGCAAGTTGAAAGCTTTGGCAGCAGTGGGGCAGCAGTGACGCTTGAGCTGTGCTAGGCTGTGAGGAATGATGCTGGTGGTGATGGGGAGGAGGGTCTCAGTGCACAGGAACAGAAGCTTTGTTTGTTGCTTGTATTAAAGTCAAAATAAGGTCAAAAAAAAGATTTAGATGAGGATTGATAAGCATGTACCTGCCTGCTTCAGAGACAGTAGGGTGGGGACTGTTCCCGTTTTTAAGGTTTTCTGTCAATATTGGCAAAAATTCAACTATGTGTATGTGTGCTCCATTGGAGAAATGATGGTTAAAAAGTAACTTTTTTTACTGTTCTTGTGGTTTATTATCAACAAAAGGAGAGTCTTTCCCAGGTGTTGCCAATTCACCTTTTCCACCCTGCATGTAGACGCCCACAGTGAGCAAGCAGATACTTTACCCACTCAGGGATTCACAACTCAGATGGTTCCAGCATGCTGGGTTGCTATCTACGATTTTTTTTCATTCTTCATCACAGCAGAGCAAATAATTCATAACAGAGCTGGCATTCAGCAAGTCTTGCTTTGTTCCTCTTTGTTAAATAGGAACAACTGTAGACCTGCTCAGGACATGTAAAGTATTTTGGTAGAGGTGGAGATGAGAATCTCAAATGATACAGATGTACCTGTCAGCGCAGTAGCACTTGCACAGCTACAGCTTCAGAGTTTTCTTACGGATCCTGTTTGTTGGGAGTGTTGTTCTGTAGGTTAGTTCTCGTGATCACCTCTGCCTGTGTAGGTCATATTACTGATGTGATCTTCCAAAACGGTAGGTCTGGTGCCTACCATCAGGTTGTCTTAATAATCATGGAATTGAAAGACTGTCTTTTCTGTTTTGTACTGAACTCTTGTTCTGAGCATGTTTTTCTCTTCTGTAGCTGTGAGGGTTTGAAACTAATTTAAAATGAAGTTTGAGCACATCATAATTACTTGGGTCCAGGACCAGGGCTTTTAGGAAAGTTGTAAACTATAAGAAAATTCTCAGCAAGCAAATGGGGCAGGTTGTAGTGCACAGTACTGTCTCTGTCCCCCATTTTATGCTGATAACTCTCTGTAAAGCTTACCCAGAGCAGTTTTCCCTTGTTGCTGGAAGGCTTGGACAGGTGGGTAAGCCTCTCTAGAGTGAGGAAGGTCTTTATACATGGGTGTAAGTGGCCTTTACGCACTGCTCATGTGCTCAGGGAGAAGGGAGGGAGTAGGCAGGTGAGCAGAGGACAGGAGCACCTCTTCTAGCTCAGTGGAGCCATTTGCCTATTTAAAGTCTTGGTGCCACAATCTTCCACCATGGCCATGTGTCATTTTGGTGGCATTAGGGGGAGTGTCAATGTTGCTCCAGGGGATTGTCAGAGCTGCAGGCACCATGTTGTTCTTCTCAGACCTCTCCCGGTGGAACAGAGGCTACTCTTGAAAAATTTAATCCCATTCCCCAGCCCCAGGGTGCCCAGAATGCCCTGGGAGACATGCAGAGAGCAGAGGCAGATTAACTGGGATGAAAAAAAAATCCTAGGATGAGTTTTACTGTATTGATGGTTTATTTTTGAGCTCTCCCCTTTGTGGTATTTTGATGTTTTTCCCTGTTGCCCCTTTTGGCAGTGTGAGCCATTCTTTTGCTGATGGGATGTGCTCTTCAGTGTGGCATTGAGCTGCTTGAGAGGAGCAGCTGGCCCCAAAGATACCTCTGTAATCCAAAGATCTGTGACTATTAAATGTGGAACTTGGCTGTTAAACACTTGAGCTCATGTGCTGGCTCAGCCTTACTGAGTCACAGCAGAAGGGCCTGGCAGATGATCCAGTCTTATGCAGGATGTGCATCCTTCTTCCTGGGCTCCTCATGGTCTTGAGGCACCCAGGATACAAATGGGAGTGGGTGAATTACATGGCTAAGAGTTTGTATGCCCCATGAGACAGTACCTCACCCCTCCTGCCCAGCGTTACCGCCTGTAGACACAGTGAGGTTAGGCACCAGGATCCTGTTCGTCAACTGCCAGATGCTCTCATCTCATCTGATGAGCTGCAGAGCACGTGCAGCCATCTCAGAAGTGCAGAGCAGAAGCTGGCAGAGGAATGTGAGACAACAGTTCACAGCAGAAAGCTGGGGACATCCTCCACTGTAACTGAGGCTGCAGAGCATCTGGGTGTGCAGAACAGCTGAGAGAGCAGGGAAAACCCTTCCTCGGTACAGAAAAGAGGAGAAAATGCACACAGAAGGGTCTTCAATGAACATGTGGATCCAGACATCACATGTTGGGTCTCGCTCCCAAACCTGATCTCTTATTCTGCACACGGAGTGACTAGAAGTATTCCCACCTCCTTCATTTCCTACATGATCAGACTTTTCCCTAGTTCTGCTGGTATTGATCCAGTCTAGCTGTGGAGGCACAAGAAGTACCAAACCTTGGACAGTACAAAGTACAGCTTGAGCAGGAAGGGAATGTCCCTGTCTCTGGACATGAAATATGCTGCAAGTGAAATGATGCCAACATGAAACCCTCCACAGTGTTGTTCTTGTTGCACTCCTGTTGTGACAGGCAGAATGTGGGCTTCTCAGGCTGTGACTGGATTGTCATCCTTGCCTGTAACAGAGAGCTGTGGAGCACACATCAAAGCTTTGGCCATGCAGCCTGGTCATTGCTGGGGATTTGAGCTGGGCATGTGGCTCCACTTGGTCTCCTGTTTGGTCTTTCAGTAGGTATTGCAGGAGGTGTTTGGAGAAGATGTCTAAGAAAGTAGACCCCAAATTGATGGAGTGGAAAATCCAGCGCAGTGGAGTTGTTTGCTCTCCATCTGCACGCACAGCCTAACTGCTGCCAGCTGCAATGATACCCCTCTTGTCAGAGAGGATAAGCTGGTTTGTTTTCCCTCCTCAGCTGCACACTTCTTTTGTGATTCATTTATGACGCTGAACAAGTTGTTTGCATGCTTTTTCTTATCTTTGAAGGGAGTGATAATGGTGATCTCATATCACATGTTCCTCAATGTGTTTGCTCATGTGCACCCGGAGTCCAGGACCTTGTGAGGCACGTTGCCAGTGGGGACTGCTAGCCTTATTTGGTACATTTAGGTTAGACCTATCACAGATAATGAGGCCAGAGCCAGTAAAATGTGATCATTGCAGGCCTGTTGTTCTGAAGATGAAAGTCTTAGAGACCTGGAGTCACTCTGGCTTCCTTGTAGGTGACTTTCCACCAGGTAGTTGTTGATGTAGTGCTGAAATGATGCCTGATGGCCATGGTGATGGGGATCTGAGGGGAATGGATGATGTACCACTGGAGATTCTGTGCTGCTTTCCGATACTCTCACACACAGCCATGCAAGCACTGGCACTCAGTCAGGTTTGCTAATCAGTCCTTATTGTTTTCTTTTTGTTTTTCAAGACCTGCTCTGAATCAGTGAAGGCCAAAGCTGCCAAGTCTGACTGGCTTCGAGGTCTTTTCCTGCCCAACATCATGCTCTTCACAGACAAGAGATACTTCAATGACAGTGAGTGGGAACGCCTGGAGCATTTTGCACCTCCATATGGCTTCATGGAGCTGAATTATTCACGTGAGTCCCTCAGGGCATGTCAGGATGGGACCATCAAACTCCCAAGAGAAACCTTATGCCAAGTAGCTGGAGGTTTGCAGCATCTCCTTGACAAAGGCATCAGGCTAGATGGATCTCGTGGTGGAAACTGTGGTGGTTTCACTGTGTCCATCCCCAAGGCTCTTGATGCTAACTCTCCACCATGTTTGCTTCACAGTGGTGGAGGAGGTCATGTCCCTGCTGCCTCCGAACCCCCACCAGCAGCTGCTCCTGGCCAACAGCAACAGCAGCATGCCAACGTGCATCAGCTGTGCTGTCGTGGGGAATGGAGGAATACTGAATAACTCTGGGATGGGCCAGGAGATTGACTCCCATGACTACGTCTTCCGGTAAGGCAGTCTTCCTTCTTAGAAGATACACAGCTAGCTTATTCCAGCTAGCAGATAATTATGGCTGGATAACTTCACCTCTTCTAGTATTACACTGGTTCCCAAGTGCCAAAATGACTGATGGCAGGAGGAGATGAAAAACCAAAAAAGGGAATTGCAAAGTTCCTAAGCACACAGAAAGAGCCTGTGTTCTCAGATGAGCCATGAAGAGCCATCTCCAAAGCAGGGGCTCTCCTGCAGATCAAGAGCTGTAATTCAAAATGGGCTTAATCCTCCTTTTCTCCAGACTAATGCTGTCTTTTCCTGTTATAAACATGGATGCGGGGGTTTTCAGTGATCACCTGCTGACTGTCCTCCTCTGTTTAATTTCCTTGGACAGGGTAAGCGGGGCTGTAATCAAAGGTTATGAAAAAGATGTGGGAACAAAAACCGACTTTTATGGATTCACAGCCTACTCCCTAGTGTCCTCTCTCCAGATCTTGGGACACAGAGGGTTCAGAAGCATCCCACGGGGCAAAGTAAGTCAGGTCTATGCTGTATGCATGCACAGCTTTGATGGGATGTGTTAGTCTGTGGCCTTTGGTTCTAATCTTGCAGGCATGAGGAGAAACGGGGCTGAGCTAACACTTTACCCTTTCTGAGGAAACCTGGATTGGCTTGGCTCGGAGTATTTGCGGTGGCAAGCTGCAACCTTTTGGCTTGTAGAAGTAGCTGCACATCAGATACTACCTCCATTTTGCTTCTGTGGGATAGTTAAAAGCTGCAGACTGAAGATGTGTGTCTGAGAAACTCAGTGAGCCTAGATGCCTGCTTGCTTTGTAAAGAACGTGTCTCTCTGGTGCTGTTCATTAATGCTCACTTGTTTTCTTAGCATGTCAGATACATTCACTTCCTGGAAGGAGCTAGAGACTATGAGTGGCTGAAGGCTCTTCTGTTGAACAAGGACATCAGAAAAGGATTCTTGAATGCCTATGGGTAAAACAAAGTGGCCCCACCTCTACACCCTTCAGAGCAGCGCTCTGTTGTGCCCTTTTCCTTTCTGCTGTGCTCAGCCCTGCTGAGGTGCAGGCCAGGGCAAAGCCAGATTAAAGCCTCCATCCCCTGACAGATTTGTCTGGAGAAATATCTTATTTCCTCCACAGCTTTGAGCACTGCTGCAACCAATACACTTCCTTCCCAGTGATGCATGGCCAGAGCTTGGAGAGAAAGCTCTGTGGTCCTCTGGGACGTACACATGCCATTGTCTGGACTGGTGTCTGTACATGGTGGCCTATTCATGGGTGAAGGCCTAGTCTCACCAATTCTTGTCTCTACACACACATGCTTTTGATATTCCTCTCTCGTGTTGCTGCCTCTCCTTCCTGATCTCTTCATCTGCAATGCACACAGGTTATGGAGGCTTTGTCATAACCTGGGAAATACTGCAGAATAACTTAACAGTGTTTGTGGTTCTTCTCTTATCACCAAGATCATCAGGGCTGATGCTTTCTAGCTGTGATGAAATACAGGAGCTTGTCCTGAGTCTTCCCATTCCTGTCCTTAGGCAGAGGCCCCGGGAGAGATTTGAGGAAGATTTCACAATGGACAAATACCTAGTGGTTCACCCTGATTTCCTCAGATACACAAAAAACAGGTGAGCTGGGGGTTATGTGCTTTAATGGGGTTAATTTTTCTGGCCAGCACCATCTCTGTCTCTGAGCTCTCTCCTTCCAGCTCACTCCCTTGAAACTGCAGTTCAGCCACACCAGCAGACTGGGGTAAGATTTGTCAGTGTGTAGTCTTGGGCAGTTTGGCTTTCTGCATCCAGAAGAGGTCTTGGGCAAATGGAAATTTTAGATGTGGGAGGAGTGTTGCTAAAGTGCCACAATAGTTCTCTAGTTCAGGACCAGCCTTTCATGTTCCCCTTTCCTTGGAGGAGGGCTCTGTAACAGCCCTTCTCTCCCGAGATCCCTCCTTGACTCAAACATGCTAATAGGCGCTTCTTCAGCATCGTGTTTGCCTGGCCTGGCTGCTGCTCCCTGCCTCCCTAATCCTTTTCACAAGCCTGCTGGACACTCTCACAGTAAGATCTACCAATCGTGGGCCACACATGACCAAGAGATATAGGAAGAGCAGCTCCTGTTCTGTGCTTTGGCTGTGGCTGCGTTTACCCTTCGGTCTCTTGGGCTGAGTTATGCCTTCTCTGAGAGAAGGCAAATGCAGTGCCAGATGGCTTGCACCTCCCGGCTCGTTCTGCCATCTCCCCTCTGACTTGGGTCCTTTCCAAGGCCAAAAGGGCTTGAATGCTATTTTTTCCTGGTGTAGACTCCTACTTTCCTAACAACTGCTGGCGTAAAACACTGCAGCTCCTAGCGGGTTTTGTGACACTCCTCTGCACCTTTCCTATGTCTCGTTTCACTCCTAAATATGGATGGGGAGCAGGATATACCAGGGAACTTCAAAGCCATTTCTGCACTGCAAGGCAAAGGACAGATTTAAGAGTGGGCTTTAACATGCTCAATCCTTTAATCCATCCCCTCTGCCTCAAGACCTACCACTTGCATAAAGCTGGGGCAGAGCTGGGCTTAGGTTGCAGTGCAGGTGAGGGAGCATTCTGGGCTGGCCTTGTGCATACTCATGGCTTCTCTGAAATGTCTCCTATGGCCACAAACTGCTGCAAGGAGGGAAGATGCCACACAGGCCATGGGAACCAGGTGTATCTGGCTTGAACTACCACATCCAGCAACTGCTGTCTGCTTTCTGCTCTCCTGCTGCAGGTTTTTAAAATCTAAAAATCTGGAAAAACCCTACTGGCGGCTGTACAGACCCACAACAGGGGCCTTCCTGCTGCTGACTGCCCTCCATCTCTGTGACCGGGTAAGGGCACAATGATTCTTGTACACAGCACTGTCTGGAAGTGGGGAAAGGATAACAGTGCAGAGCAGGGGTGGCTCCAACCTTGCCTACCATCTGCTGTGAGGGTATTTGGGTTCTTGTCAGCTGTGGAGGAGCAGATTGAAGACAAGAGATACAACCCTGAAATAGTTTACATAGAAGTTGTGAAGCTGCTGTGGCCTGAGAGCCATCCTGCCTCCCGAGGAGGCTGTGAGAGGACAGCAGGTTCTCTGGAGCAAGTGTTCATGGTCTGGTCCTTCTGGAACCCCATGCAGGGTCACCTGGAGGAGGAGTCCTGACTGGCATCCCTGTCCTGTGATCCCTCCCCGTTTGGGAACTGTCCTGTATGTCAGTTAGCTCCCTCTGTCCTTGGTACCTCTCCCCAGTGAGCCCTCGGTCTTTTCCAGGTGAGTGCCTATGGCTACATCACAGAGGGTCATGAGAAATACTCGGATCACTACTATGACAAGGACTGGAAGCGTCTGATTTTCTACATTAACCATGACTTCAACCTGGAGAAGCAGGTGTGGAAAAAGCTTCATGATGAGAATATCATGAAGCTTTACCAGAGATCCTGATTGTGTTGGAAGGGCCATTGCCTGGGAAATCTCAACACCACCTCACTGGGAATGGAAGAGGACCACCAGAGCCAAGGTTAGCTATGGACTTCCAGGCACATTTCATCCCCACAAAGACACTTCCCTCCTTCAGGTCTTCTATTCTCTCACAACGTTTCTATGAATGTGCAAATGCTACAGGGCAGGAGAAGAAGAGCAAGAAAATGCAGCATGCTAACAAAGAAGTCCCATCTGGCTGTGCTGCAAGACTGTTGCTGATGGCTGTAGGCACTGGTGTTGGGGGCGAAGAATCCAGGATGCATCTGGGTAGTATGTGGTCCAGTGTCCTGCATCTTTATCCAGGTTTTCTCTCTGTGCAAGGAGATGCTCCTCAGACTGGGGCTACTTCTGTTCTGCGTGGATCTTCTCCATCAGTGGTGCCCATCTTGGAGCTGGGTGTATTGTCTAAGCAAGCTCCCTCAGCAGCCAGTGGATGGAGATGGACATGCAGGTCCTGTCTCAGGTTAATTCCTGGAGGTGCTGCTCTCACTCTGCTCCCTGCAGATAAAAAGGATGGTCTGGACTCTTCCAAGTGACTAATTTGAGAGGGGATGAGTCTCACTTCTGCTTCCAAGTGTGGCCTCATCATGACACCTCTGAAGGAGCACCACCATCAGCTGGAGGGCAGGTAAATGCTCTCCATGGTGTGGCGGGCATTGCCTCTTGCTCTGGGGCTTCCCTGGCTGCAGGACATGTGAATGCTGTGTTGTGGTCCTGGTGTGCCAAGTCCTTGATTAGCTGAGCTTTGGCATGCTTGGCTCCCGGCTGTGCCAGGAGCGCTGTTTGCCCTCTTGCCAGGGGATGTGGGAGCTCTCCAAGTCGAGGGATGGATGCTCTCCGTCCTTGCTGCTGGCTGGAGTGCCTGTCCACCGTCGTGCTGAGAGGAGCCTGGTCGCAGCCAGCAAGCCTGCAGCATGCTGCCCTTCTGAAAGGGTTTTGCAAGCAAAATAAATGGCATTACTTTGGCCAAGCTGATTTTTCATTGCAGCCCTGTGGGTTGTGGTTATTTAGTGTGTGTCCAAAGCAGTTGCTTAAAGGCTGAGATAGTGGTTGATGAAGCCAGGAAAGAACAAGACTGTTAATGAGAATTCCTCCATCTGCAGGTGCTCTGCATCTTGTGTGGACATACCTGAGCATCCCCACTTGCTATCGCAGGACAGGGATCCGGGCTGGCCAAACACCTCCCTGAGGAAGTGGGTAAACACCTGGCGAGTTTGTTCTTGTCCCAGCAGCTGCTCTCCAAGCATATCAGGTGCTGGAGACAAATGCATGAAGGGCTGGATGTTTCCCCATGACACAACGCAAGCAAAAAGCCACTTCCAGTGTCCAGGCACGTCCAGTGCATCTCCCCGGGCTCATCAGGCTCTGGACTGGGGCCCAGCTGCACACTGACTGTTCCCAGTGGAGCTGCTCTCCCTGCGAGCAGTTTTCCTTTTGAGCAGCATTTCTGTTGAGGGCAGCAGTGTCTCCAGGGTCCCCCAGTCTCCGAGGGAGGCATTTCAGCGTGGATTGTCAGCAGGGTTTGTGAGGCCTAATTTCCTTTGTCCCTTTTTGCCTTGCGCTGCAGAGAAGCCAAGCAGTTTCTCATGTCTCACTAAGCTTGTTTGCAAAGGACACCCCACCCCCCCCTTGATAATCTAAATTAAGAACTCAACTTATCTGGGAGAGGGCACAGCCTGCGTTTGGCTGCTCTGCCCATACAAGTGCCGCCGTGTCCGTGGGAGCCGGGAGTTATCCGGATGCCCTGTGCCTCTGCTAGGAATGATGTATGTAGCCCTGCATGAATGCCAGGCCCAAGGGGGGCCACGGGCTTTGGAGCAGACCAGAAATCCTTCCTGACAGAAAAATGGCCTTCCTGTGGAGGAGAAGTCCTATGGAGGCTTGTCACCCTCCAGAGCTGCCTGAGGAGAAACTCCCACAGTATTCACCTGCTGGGTGTCTCGGCCCCTCGCGGTGGCTGTGCATGGCTGGTGTCCCATGTCCCCAGGCTCTCCCGGCTCAGCACTGGCTCAGCTGGGCTCTCGGCGGGCAGTGAGGCAGCTTTGTTCCTTGCCCGTGTGTCGGGCCGTACCAAATTGCTGTGAGTTGCTTAGTGACCAGCTCCCCACGGGTATTCTTCCTGCCTGAATAGGGCTTTTCTCTTCCCAAGAAGTTGGAAGAAGTTTCTCTTAGACCCTTCCCTTCCCCCTCCTCCTCTTTTGTTTCCCTCTCCTCTGGGAAGCAGGATGGGGCTGAGTCCCGCCAAGCAAGGGGATCATGGTGGGCAAGGAAGCTTGTGGGGATGGGCTGGCACCCCCCAGCCTGTGCTTTCCCCCAGTGCAGTTGAGGCTTCCCAGAATCAAGGGAAGAAATCTTCCCAGGAGGCTTTCCCCACCAGCAGAGCTTGTTCCCTCCAGGCTTTCCTCTCAACACAGCTGGCATAGTTTGATGCTATCAGGGATAACCTTGGCTGGAGAAGGGCCTTGCTGTTGCCTGGAGTTTCCCAGCAGGCTCAAACCCACATCTGGGGTTTGACCTGGCTGCCCTCTTCACCTCCTGGCTTTGCTCCTGTCCCTGCACCCAGACATCCCCTCCCACCGTGGGCTGGCTGTGGCGCACAAGCCCAGCTGTGCCTCACCAGAGCCACCAGACCTTGCGGCTCCAGGTCTGGAGCGGCCATGGGAAGTCGAGGGGTTTTGAGGTGGCATTTCCCAGCCGGTTTCCAGCACAAAGCAGCGTAGCAGAAGCTGTGGGGGGCAGCTACAGATGGAGCACTCTGGGTGAGAGCCAGGATTCGGGGTTTGGGCGAGTCCCTTGGCTGGGTGTGTGTCCCGGGGCGAAAGTGGCAATGCCAGGCTGTACCAGAGTAGCCCCAACCTCCTCAGTGCAGCTGAGAGCAGCCAGTGCCATGGCATAGCATCGCCCCACATGTCCCCATCCAGATCCTCGTGGCCAGCAGGATTGTCCCAGTGCCACCAGGTGGCAGCTCCTGGTCAGGGACCTGCCAACATTGTGCCGTGGCTGGCACATCCAGGTTTGGTCCAGGCGTGTCCAAGGGCCCTGCCCAGCCCTGCAGCTGCCCACACTCCAGCAGACTATTGTCCCCCGGTGTCCTTCACTTTATAACACCCACCTGCACCAAGGATTTATGGCTCGGGAGCTCCTTGGGGTACACAGGGGCATGCATAGAGGAGGTTTGGTACCTACAAGTGCCACTCCTGCAGCTACGAAGTGTTCACAAAGGTGCAGCCTCGGCTGGTGCAAGGTGGCCTGGCACTGACGGCAGCAAAAACGGAGGGACCAGCGCCAGGATCGGGTCTGATGTCCTGAGGGAGGCCTCAGACACAGCAACTCCTCCTCGTGCATGGACATGAAACCCAGGGCCAGTGACCAGCAGCATCTTTCCCCATTGCCAGCCAGGAGCTCCAGGGTCCGCTGGATTTAAACAAAGACATGTGATTTGGGGAAGAAATACCCAGCCGTGCTTTAGCGTGTCTGGAAGCTGCTGTCATGTCAGCCCTGCTTTTTTGGGAAGCTGTTGGTGAGTACCATGAGCCACTATTACAGCTGCGCCCAACTGCTCCTGGGGTTCCCCAGGAGTTAACCACATCTAAATATTCCCTGCCAGTTTGTGGAAAACAAACCCACTTGTCACCCAGGAGCTCTTGTGGTGTCACCTTCCTGGCAGAGCTTCGAATCTTTTGTTTGGTTTCCACCTCTTTCCTTTTTGCGGTGTGACTGCTTTCCTGTCTAGCAGAAGCAGGGGCATGTTCATATGCATGTAGCTCCTCAGCTGGGGGCTGGGGCTGAAGCAGGAGGAAGCGGATGGGCACTTGGAGACAAGCAGGTGGTGCAGAGCCCATCTCCCCCTCCTCGGGTCAGCCCAACCCCTCTCTGTGGAGCCTGGCTCCGTGTCCCAGGGCGTGGGGTGCCTGCCAGTGCTGGCAACCAAGACCAAACCCAACCAGGTGCCAGAGAGAGCAACTGCGTGTGGCACGCATAGCTCCAAGGCAGCCTGCTGCCATGGTGGCACATCCAAATTGTCATTCCTTGCCTTTCTTGTTCCCAGACAAGAAACAGGCACAGAGCAGCCAGAGCTGGACACTAGCGCCCGGCTTCCCAGCATGGAGCAGGTGATCCCTCTCGATGCATTGCTCTCAAGCTGTTCAGGCACTATGGGAGTGAAGCAGAGGTGTGTGTCGGCTCCAGGTCAGCACAAAAACTTCTGTGCTGGTGACTTACCAGATGCTATTTCTGTTTTCCAAGCAGAAAGAAGTTTGGGGCAGGCCCTCAAGGCGCAGGGGTGGGGGGTTCACCCTCCTCACCTCTGCTGTTGGACCTTCTCACTTTGTTGGGGATGTGGCAGCAGGGAAATCCAGTCAGACCAGAAAAACTATTGATAATAGGGGAGGGAGAACAAGATAAAGGATCAGCCCATGGCTTTCTTGTGCAAAAAGTACCAGGTGACTTCCAAGCACCTGCCCTGCAGCGAGCCCTCCTCTCCAGGTGCCAGGGCAGGGCCCTGCAGGCAAACAGCTCCTGGGCATGCAGCAGCCCCTGCTCCTCATGCCAAGGAGCTGGGGCACTCTGGGCTCCTCTGCCAGGCTGAGCAGCAAGACTCTTGGGTGCTGCAGGGCTTTCTCAGCTCAGCCTGACCCAGCCCTTGGGGTGGTAAATCCTGGAAAGACACTTGCTAAGTCCTGAGGACATCCCAAGGCTCCCTCCACTCCACCCACAGCAGCCACGCAGCGTCAGGACAGTGCAGGCAGACAAGGGGTGGGCGCCCACCTGCACTCAGAGGCGACGTCCCCTCTCCCCAGCTCGGTGCTTTGGGGACAGAGCCTGGCCTGACCTCTGGGCCATGTGGCTCTGAGGCTCCCATGTTTCAGCAGACCTCAGGGACTCTTTATGCTGCTAAGAACAGGGCAGGATCAGTCCACATCTGCTCTGCCTAGTCCCGAGCCCACAAGAAAGGGGAAGGCAGCGGTTTGCGTTGTCACCCTCATTTCCCAAAGGTGTTTCCCAGCTCTGCACCCCTCCAGGGCACATTCCAGAGCCTCACAGGTTGCGTCATGCCCGGTGGAGAGGAGATGGCCTTCGGACTGTGTGTTTGGCTTATCTCAGCCCCGGTCAGATGGTCCAGGGCTGACCAACAGCTCTGCCATGCACAGCCAACTCTGCGATAAGAGACGGGCTGGGCCCCGGCAGCTCTGAGGGGAGTGAGCCAAGGTAAGCGACGTACTGCCACCACATCTGAGGTCCCAACCTGCCACCTCAGCCCATGGCTCGCTCCATCGCGCCACACCGGCACAAAGATGGGGCCCATCAGCTCAGTTTCGATGCAGAGCTGCGTCCTTGAGCCCCTTTCCCTACCCGCAGCAGGGGGTTGTACACAAGGCAGGAGGGCAGAGCCCGTCGCTCAGAGCTGTGGTTGCTGCGGGGTGATGCTGAGCACGGCCCTGGGCGTCTCCTGTCCCGCAGCGGAGCTGCCCCTGCGCTGCCACCACGGGGGTGCCGGGGTCCCCACATCCGAGCAGCCTCCGTGCGCTCACTTCCCTCTCATCTCCTGGTTGCAGTGACACCTAAACATCCAAGCACAGACTGTCAGGCAGCGTTAGTGTGGGCGGGGGCTCTGCCTGACCCCCTCTCTGCAGGGAACCTGGAGAGAGGAGGCTTGGCCGAGGGGCTCCCGCTGCTCTCCCCGCCCCGTCGGGAAGGGGCTGTGCGTCAGCCTCCCCAGACATCTGCTGACGAATTTTTCATGATGCGATGGCCTTGCCTCCCCAGGCAGCCATATGGCCCCACGTTCTCCAGCGGGGCTGACACAGCAACGTGTTCCTAAGGCCAGACTTTGCATTTCAGGGAAATTTCCTATGAGCAGATTTTTGGCACTTTTTTCAATGCACCTCTGACCTGTGCTGAGCAAATTGGGATCTATAAATCCACCAGGAGATTTTTGGAGATCTTGTTCTCCCAGATGGACAATTCATCACAGCAAAGACCACAAGACTTCCCTCCACCGACCCATGGCCAACAGCTAGCTGGTGCAAAATGTGCTTATTTTCATCTCGCTTTCTCTAGCCAGGTGGAAGGCTTGGGTTTTGTTTCCAAGAAGTAATCACTGGAATAAAAAGCCCAGGCTAAAAATGATAACTTGCTGGCTTTCATTGTAATTTCTTTTGTGTTCTTTTCCTAATCTTTATTTGGCAACTATCATCCTAAAAGGTTTTCACACTTATGTAACTTCTAAATAAGCACCACTTAATTTTGGGGCATGGGCCAAAATGCATTGTAGCACAAAACAAGTAGAGCAGATGAAGAGCTGTGCATCTCATTTTCACCCCTTTGAAAAAAATCCCAACAGTAGAAAACCATATATCATGGAAACAGAGAGATGAGAGCGGTGTGAAGAAACCAGCTCCTCCCTCCCTCTGGGCACCAAAGCTGCCACTCACCAGCATTTGCATAATAGGGCCATAAATGTCTCCAAACAGCAAATTCCTGACTTTCCCCAGGCCGCTTGCTCCAGACTGATGTCCACCTCCAGGGCCAAGCCTGGCTGTGTCCCTTGTGACTTACTGGAACAGTTGGTAATAATTAGCTGTGATTAACAAAGGGCCAGTCAAGAGCACATGAGCTGAGGCGCTGGGTTGCAGGGGGAAAATCCACGGGCTCAGAGTGAACAAGGACAATCCCTGAGTGACAGAGGGTGGGGACAGACTCCAGGCTGGGGGACCTCTGAGCAGGACCTCAGACTCTCGTCCCTCCTCTGCTGGCCCTGAGTCTTCTACACAACGCAGGTAGTCCCAGGGGCTGGGAACTGGCTTTACTGGTGGAGGCAAAAAGCATCAAATTCTCCCATCAGTGTCACCCCCATTTCTCTGACCTGCCCATTTGCTACCAGGATACTTGTTAACTCCCCCTTCCTGCCCTTCCTTTTGTAGTTTTAGCTCCAGCTGAGCTTTAAACCCGATTTCACCTCTGTGTGTCCAAGCAGTGATGGTCTGCCCTGTTCTTCCCACTTCTTGCCTGCTCTCGCCCTCCCCAAGACGCCCCGTGCCCAGCCAAGCCTGCCCGCTGCAGCTCCCCAGCCCCCGTGCAACAGCGGGGTTTGCTCCCTCTAAATTTTCTTTCGAACTGTCCTAGCCGCCATCCCCTTGTGTGACCCAGGTCCAATGTCCACTCTTCCAGGGGAACGAGGCCAGTGCTGCCCCCACTGCCAGCCTTGGCTCGCGGGCCTGCCCCCGTGTTTGTGCCAGGGCACGGCCACCGGCACAACCTGGGCGCTTCGTGGGGGCCGGGCGCTGCCATCCCCACACAGCCAAAATTCCCAGAGGCTGGTAACGGGGAGACCTCCAGAAATACAAGCAAACAGAGACTGGAACAAACTCCTATGGAATAATTTCTTGCGTTTATCCTTCTTTGAACGAGCGGCATCATTGGAAACAATGTCTGCACGGGGGGCCTGGGAGTGGGGGGTGGTTGGATCTGGGGGATGAGTGTTGGGGAAAATGGGGCCGTGAATACACTGGCCTGGAGGTGTGCGGGTGGGAGCGGGGATGGGGTTTGGCCCCGCGTTTCTGGGTCTGAACAATGACAGCGGGTATTTGGGGAGGGGCTGGAGGTGAGGGACACCCTGGGGTGACATGTAGGTGCTCGGGGAGCTATGGGTGCAGGTCAGAGGGTTTGGATGGAGCAGGGCTCACTGTGGTGCTGCTCCCCAAGGCTGGTGGGTTCCTAAAAATCCAACCCCTCCCAAAATCACTGCAGATCAACTGAAAACCCTTGTTTTCCTTGCTGAGTCCCTTCCCCCGCTGTAACAAACATTTTGGTATGCATATCCTTTAGTTCGCAGGGCTGTTTTCTTTTTTTAGATGAGTTTAACTAAAGTAATGTCAAAATAATCTTTCAAAAAAGAAACTGAAGCACTTCCCTTCCAAAAATTTCAAAATGCTTCATTTGGATTTCCCCAGAAACCCCCCAAACCCGTTTTTCCTTTCCCCCAGCCCAAACTATTTGTTGAACTCGGCACAAAGCCCCGAACGGTTTTGTTTGCTGCAAAACCGCGTTGTGGGGGGAGCGATCTGTTGAGCCAGAAAGCAGCCGAGGGACCCGGGGGCAGCACTCCCACCAGCGTCCCCCACACACACTTCTCCCCATTTGCACTGGGTTTGCTCCCACAGCAGCGCATTCGCCTGCGAGCAGCTCGGTGCGGGTGCGTGCTGGGGTGCTGCCATGGGGCACCCCAGGGCCAGAGCTCGGCTTTACTTTGGAGCCTGGAGTTTCTGATAAACTTAAAACAAGGAGTGGACACCTCCGGCTCCGCTCGGCGGTGGCTGCGCCGTGGGGTCGCCGGGTGTTGGCGTGGGCTGTACGTGCTGCCAGTTGTGAAGCAGCCGGTGGTGAAAGCACATGTTTTAGTCGAACAAGAAAGTTAGAGAAAGGGGGAACCTCCCTGCTTTGTGAGATGTAGGTAGGTGGGTGGCATGAAAAGGAGGCAAAAAAAGCGCATTTCCCTGCTGGTCTGAGTAAATGTTTAATCCCCAGCTCGGAGAAAAAGCAGCTCAAAAGTGCTTTTTTTCTCAGCAAGTCTGAACCAGTCAGCCTGGTGCCTCCTCCCTCCGGCTCACACCCTCCCTCCCACCGCTTCGGAGGAATATCCCAGCCTGCTCCAAGGTGCAGCTGGGCACCCAGGGCAGGACGGAGCCAGGCCAGAGCGGGGTCTGCACCCACGGGGCTGGGAGAGGAGAGGAGAGGGGCCGGGAAGTTTGCCGGGCCCCGGGCAGCAGCGGCGGGCCGGCGGTGTGCCCGGTGCAGGCAGCGCGGGCTCCCACGCTCCCGCCTGCCAGCGCTGCTCCAGCGCTTGCGGTGCCCGGGATGGGGTCCCCACACTGGAAACGGCTCTGCCTTTTGCTCCTGGCAGGTTTAACATCCTCCCTGCTCCTCTACGGTCACTACTACGCTACGGTGGAGTCGACCACTAGCCAGAGGATCATAGCCAGGTAAGGTGGGGACGGGGAGGGGGTGGGAGACAGGGATGTGCAAATCCAGCATGAGGTACTGTGCACTGGCGTGGAGAGGGGGAACTGGGGTGCCGCTGTGGGCTCCTCGGTGCAGGTTATCCCAGCTGTGCCCCCAGTTGTTGGCTGCTTTGAGAAACGTGCTCTGCCCCCCCCGGGTGTCCTGGGCACCGGGTCCTGCCCACAGCCACCAGCCGAGCTCAGGGGTGCCCAGGGTGGGACCCCGGGGCCGTGGGGGGCTGCAGGGGTCCCCGCGTGGGTTCAGCTCCTCACAGTGCAAAGAAACCATTGCTGGGTCCAGGGATGGCTGAGGCTCAGGGTGCTCAGCCCCCGGCAGGATAAACCCCCCACTTCTGCAGCCGGACAGACCCTCTGCGAGCCCCATGTGTCCCCGTTGGGCTGATTTAGGATCGGAGCTGACTGATTGTGCTGGGGAGGAGGTTTGGCCCCCGTGGAGCTGCACTGATCCCCCCACTGCAGGGATCGGCTGAAATCCCCAGGACTGCCCCCCCGGGCTTGTAAACTCCTGGGGGCTGCAGCGTTTCCCAAGCTCCAGCAATTTGCATCTCCCCCTCCGTGGTCACATCTGCCTTCCCTGCATCCTCCAATCTCCCCAAGCCCCTTCCTGACTCCCCCCGGTGCCAGGCAGGCGAGGGTGCTGGGGCACCCCATGGAGCCCTGGGGAGTGGGGCTGAGCGGGCAGGGTGTGCGGGAGCCTGCCCAGCACTTGGCCTGCAGGACCAGCCACCCTCCTCTCCTGCGAGCACCAGGTAAGGTGCCAGGAGAGTGCTATGGGTGCCCCTCACCTCCAGCTGGGTGCTCTTGGGTGCTGCCGATGCGACAGAACCCAGCTGCCTGGGTGCTGCCCGGGAATGGAGGATGCTGTGGGGACTGGAGCCGGTCCCGCACGGGGTGAGCTGAGTACAGCCAGATTTGTGCTGGATGTTGCTGGGGATGCAGCTGGCTGGGCTGCCCTGGGCTCCAGATGCTCTGTCTTCCCCAGCTGGAAGTTTGGGGCTCTCCTTGCCCCTTCCTGTCCTGCCCAGGGCAGAGATCCCCTCTCCTGCTGGGCTTGCGAAGCAGAGGCATCCCCAGTAGCCCGGGCAGTTTGTCTGTTTTCACCCTTGGCCGTGCCGGGTGGGCAGTGGTGCCGGTGGAAGGGCATGGCTGTGGAGCAGCTCCCCACAGAGCTTAATGTCCATAAGAGGGGAAACTGAGGCCCATGAGGGCAGTAGGACGTGCCCAAGGACCACGCTGGAGCTGGGAATAGAAACCAGCTGTGCCCTGGCACAGAGTCCGTGCCCATTCCCGAAGCAGGATGCGGAGGAGACCCATGGGAGGGGAGCTGGGAGTGGGTTTCCCCACCACATCAGGCCAGCCACTGCCTAACCCTGCCTGGACCTGCCCCAGCCCCGGGTCCCCCTGCTGCAGGGCCAGCCCGGGCTCCTGCCCCGCCACTGATGGGACCGAGGCTCAGCTTGTCCAGCCCCAGAGAGAAGCCCAGGGCGAGGTAACGGAGATAACCTGCGCTCCCAAGCTCTCCCAGGCTTTTCCTCTTGGCTTTAATCCATCTGCTAAAATTAGACCCAAACCAGAGTGAGTCCTATTCGCTCTGATTCCGTGTTTACAAACACACTGCCCTGTGACCGCTGCTTGTCCAGCCTGACCCACGCACCTGGAGGAATCGGCACTGCCCTGCCGACGGCTGTGGGGCTGAGCCCGGAGGTGAAGGCGGGACAGGCGGCGTTTGGCACAGCCAACACCGTTCCAGAGCGTTTCCCACTCTGCCTGCCGTCGGGGCAGAAAGGGTGGGTCAGGCTGCTCACGCCTTGGCACAGGCAGCCATGTTTCGCTGGGGAGGTTTGTGTGAGCACTGTCTCCATGTAGGTTTACTGGGGGGATGAAGGGGGTTGGGGGGAAGCTAACCCCCGATTGATGCTGGCTGCTGCCAGAACCAAACCACCCTCGGCCAGATAGCCACGGCAGTGCCGAGTTCCCCTCCAGTTCAGTGCAAAGCTGGTGACAGCGTGGAGGACCCTACAGAGATGGGTGAAATGCCACTGTCCCCGCAGAGAGCTGGCCACCCCGCAGTCAGCAGGGCTGCAGGGAGCCAAATCCCTGGAGCCCCTGGGGTTTGACTGGGCACAGCCCTGTCCCGCTCCCTGCCTGGCCATCTCCCTGAAACCCCACTGGCGAGCTGCTGGCACCACTTGTGCCTTTATTATTAGGCAGACGGACGAGCGTGGAGCTCGGCCCAGCCTCGCTGTGCCACTCTGGCTCTGCGCCGGGGAAAGATGCTTTCTGGAGCTCGGCGCTTTGTGGTGGGATGGAGCAAATACCCTCTGAGAGTGGTTTTGTGCTGCTGCTTCGGCTCCCTCAAATGGCTCTGCAGGACCCTGGGAGTGTTTGCTGAAGATAAGGCTGGAGCGTGTGCTCACAACACTCATACATAGTGTTATCTTCCGGAAACGAGGGGTGGCCACGGACCAGAGACGTCATATTTGTGAATGCCACGGTGGTGAGAGAGTGCACCCAGGCCTGGCTGGCTCCGCTGCCGTGGCTGGTGCCTGGGTAGCCATGGGCCACTCCTTCCCCAGAGCCCTATTGTGCATCGGCCGGTCCTGGGGAGGGTTGTCATCTTCTGAGTCAACCAAGCATCACGAGGTGCTTCACCACATCCTGGCAGGTGACGTCAAAGCGTTCGGCTCCCCAGCGTGCCGCTGAGCTGCCATCTGGCAGGGGGGGCCCTGACGCCCCACGCCCTCCCCAGCAGGGTTTGGGCAGCGGCCCCAGCCAGGATGGCTGCAGTGATGCTGGGGAGCTGCCTCCAGCACCCACAGCTGGGATGTGAGTGCAGGGAGGTGGTGACATGGGGATTGAGTTTATCAGGTCAGCACAAGTCCCGGAAGAAGCGATGGCTGAGTGCCACGCACCATGCCTGGCCACAGGTGGAGGTGGGAGCTGACCCGCTGTGCTGCCTGTGCCCACCTCCTTCCAGCCAGCCTGAGCACGGCTGGGTCTGAGCCCCCTGCGCTGCCCACAGCGCTCCCGCAGCACCCCTGGAATCTCAGAATGTAGCCCAGCACCCTCCCACTGATGGTGCCTGGCTCTTTGCCTTACCCTGCAGGCACTGGGATGGGAAGGGGAAGTGTCTGTACTAAGAAACAAGACTGGGAGAGTTTGGAGGGCTGAGGAGGGGCTGGGTGGGCAGAGGTGTGCAGCTGGGGCTCATGAGCCTGGTGGGGAAGGGCTGGGAGAGGCAGGTTTTGTGCAGCTCCCGGGCAGCAAGACCCTGAGCGTGGTGTGTTGGGGAACAGCGTTTGGGGTTCGGTGCTGGGCTGTGCCTCTGCAGCCACAGAAAGGGTGGGTGGCCAAGCAGGGGGCTTTGCGTGCAGCGGGGTTTGCTGTTGCAGGGAATTCAGTGCTTTGCGGGAGCTGGCTCTGGAGCAGGAGGTTTCTCCAGTCCCTGGTCTGTCGTTTGGGTGCTCGTAACCTCGATAAGCTCCTGCCGGCGAGGCACGTGGGCCGGGGATCCCCCGCGTCGGGAGGTGGAGGAAGCAGGCAGGGCTGGGGCGGCCGCTGAGGCTGAGCTCCCGGGGATCCCCCGGCTCTGCCCGCAGCCAGCTGACTCAGCACACGGAGCTCTCCTGGGAGCTGTTGCGAGGCCCTTGCACGGGTGAGCTTTGCTCTGACCCGGGTGTGATGCCTGTACCTCGCAGTGATGGGCTGAAAGAGCCGCCTCCAGCGTAACCACGAGGTCTCACAGAGCCTTTGGATGGCCTTTCCCAGCCGGTGCCTTGCTGTGCACAGACCCTGCCAGGGCAGCTCCGCTCCTGTCCGCAAGCCAAGGGAAGTTTGGTCAGGCTGGGTTTATTTAGCTGCTTGGAATGATAACACCAGAAAGGCCCTGCAGAAAGCTGCAGCTCTGTCATCTCCCTGGGATGGTACAGTCCCAGCTTGGTGGACTCTCCCTGGGATATGTCCTCCCTCCTCTCTGCCAGCTCCGGTGCTCCTGGGATGACCGTCAGGGTGGAGCTGGAAGGGGGGCAGTGCTGTGCCCCACCCCTCTCCTGGCTCTGGTGCCAGTGCTCCTGCACTGTACGCAGCAGGATGGATCTTTGCAGGCGTTCGGGGGCAGGATGTGGCCACGGGGCAGGGCCAAGCCAGGCACCTTGTCCCTGGGCTGGAGTGTGTGTGTTCTGAATGGTGGGGGCTCTGCAGGGCAGCAGCTCTTGCTGGGGAGCTGCCTTTTCATGGGACACCGAGGCACTGGCTTGATTTAAAAAGCTGCCCTGCCCTCAGCCCCATGTGCAGGGAGGGCACCTTCGCCCTCAGCATCCCCTGCCCAGAGCTGGCAGTGCTGGGACGGTGCAAGAAGTGAGCTGAGACTAAAGCCCTCTTGGCCCTGACTCCAGTCCACGCCTGGGGAGATGCTGCAGCCCCTGGTGCCAGCACCCAGGCAAGGTGCCGGGCTGTCCCCTCCATGTCGTGCCGTGTCCCCGGGGTGGCACAGAGCAGGGTTTAGGTGACAAACGGGGCTGGATCCACTCCCGGGCAGGGCTGAGGGTGCTGCTGGTGTTGACAGGGGCCATGGTGGGGACGGAAACCCAATGCCCGCTGTGCCGGGCAGTGTCGCGCCAGCGGGGGCCGGGGGGGGAGGCAGAGCTTCGCTCCCCACCTGCCTCTACCTGTCCCTGGGCTCCCAAGCAGAGATCCTGTAACAAGGGGGCCCTTGTCTCCTCCACAATACCCCGCTTCTGGCCTGAGCACCTGCTGGCTGGGCTGGAGGCGGTGCCGGGGGGGCTCTGAAGGGCCCTTCTGTGTGGGGATGAATGGGAGCCTGTTCCCCTCCGGTGGGCTCCCACCTCCTGCTTGCCAGGCTGCGACCCTGCCTGCCCCAGCCCCCAGCACACCCCCCCCCCCAGGAGGCCGGGGC